TGCGTGACTTCAGTGATTTATCCAGACAAGTACAAAGACAGCATAAAAGAAGAAAATGTAGAAAGGGTTCATTAATAGGTATTTAATACATGTTTATCAAAAAGTATGGAAGAAATATTTGGAAAAAAAACAACAAAAGATCAGGAAAGACATTCCAATAATTTTTATTGAAAACAATTGATGAAAATAGATTGTCAAAAAAGTGAAAACATGTTAAAAGTTGAAAATAAGTGCATAAAAAACTCAATTTTAAAATTACTACTGTGTATTTATCTTTTGTCTACTGGTGATAATAGTGTTGGTAAATATGGCATTATGGCCGAAACATTTCTGGCAATTCAGTGGGGGAAATGTGCGGACTACGTCACTTCCGCTCCCTTGTTTGTCGATATGACTATGCAGACGTCCTAGTTCAGGTCGAAAGAGAAAAATATACTTGGGAGCGCTTATATCGTAGTCGGATAAGGCAACATAAAAAAGATTTAAAGTTTATGAATTGTAACTAATAACAGACAGAACATTTCGCCGAAATTGTATACGAAGCGAGTATGCCGGGTAACTGATTTGCAACTATATATATTCACCAGTAGCCTGCGACCTTGTGATATCGCGATATATATGCATAAGTTTGTAATTTGAAGTTTACACGATACGTCTTTTCCATTGGAAGTGAGGTCGGCCACATGACGTCGAAACTGACGTTCATAAGCAAATGGACGCCGCAAAATGACGTTCATACGTTTTTCACTAGATTCTTGAAATGAAGTAAACATATTTTCCAAGGTGCCCTCCTGTGTCTTGATCTTGATCGTGATTCAGGGGCGGTCGGGTAGCCTAGTGGTTAGAGCGTTCGCTCGGCACGCCGAAGACCCGACATCGGTGCAATGTGTGAAGCCTATTTCTGGTGTCCCCTACCGTGATATTGCTGGAATATCGCTAAAAGAGGCGTAAAACCATACTCACTCACTCAATCGTGATTTGGGTCTTGATTTTCACTTTAATCTTGATCGGAATGCGTTGTTTCTGTTGGCTGTTTCTTCTCTGTTTGTAAGCTGTTGTCTCTTTCGCTCATCTCCCCTGTTTTTAAACCAAAGGTATCCTTCAAATAACCGTTGGTGCAAATTCTCAGCATAATTGTGTAGCCACGCCAAAGAGTTCTCCCATCTTTGATGCGACTTTTCGTCTTCTTTGCAACATTGTGTTGGCCACCTGTTCATTTCCCCCGCGTCATCCTTTCTATTTCATTCTTCTTTAATACTCCAGTACTTATCATTTGATATTGAGAGCGCATTTTCAACAGTCTATGTCTTGTAACGCACGGAGTTCTCTCTTTATGCATTGGTCTATGGGTTAACTTGGAATATACGGGATCTTGAATTTTTCCGGTATTATTCTTTGGTCTTGATTCATCCGCATTCTTAATGTGTCTGCACACCTGTTATTTCGAAGTACTTGCCAAAACGCTCTCTTTCATTGTCCACTCCATGTTTGACTGAGGGAATTAAATATTTTGTCGGCTTCCTTTTCTGTTTGAATTTGGGAAATGTCGTCTGGCATTGATGTCTCCAGTTCGCCATTCTCCTCACTATTCCCTTACCCGTGAGATTCCGGGGTAGAATAGGTCTTCAGCACCTCATACTCGCCGTAAAAGGTGACTATGCTTGTCGTAAAAGGCGACTAAAGGATCGGGTGGTCATGATCAGGCTCGCTGACTTGGTTGATACATGTCATCGATCCCAATTGCGCGGATCGATGCTCATGATGTCAATCACTGGATTGTCTGGTCCAGACTCGATTATTTTACAGACCGCCGTCATATAGCTGGAATGTTGCTGAGTGTGGTGTTAAACAGCTAACAGACAAGGATCGTAAACATGAACATTTGTTTGTCACAAATGTACATGTCGTTATAAATGACTAACCACATCAAGGTAATTTAAAAAGAGTCATGTAAAAAATCCTTTTAAAAATGGCACCGTTACAATGTGCACATTGTGATATGACCTCAAAATTCAAACTTTCGGTGACAGCGTTAATCCCCTGTGATTAACAGGGGTCACGTGTCCTGCTTGTGATGACGCGTGTTAAATACTGGGTCACGCGTTATCTTGCAGTAGGCACTGACATGCACTGAAGGTTCTATTTGTCACAAAGGCGAGCGTGTTTAGATATATTGATCAGATTTTCTGTCACTTATATTACGATGTTACTCTTCATTCAACGAACATCTATTCCTTGAAAATATATCAACACGGCAAGAAAGGGATACTTTATGTCCGACGTAGTGTCTTGCACAGCACTGAAAATATCAGACCCGTGAAGATCCGGAGTAGAATAGGTCTTCAGCAACCCAAGCATGCCGTAAAAGGCGACTATTGGGATCGGGTGGTCAGGCTTGCTGACTTGATGGTTGATTCATGTCATCGTATCCCAATTGCATGGATCGATGCTCATGATGTCAATCATTGTCTGGTCGAGACCCGATTATTTACAGAACGCCGTTGTATCGCTGGAATATTGCAGAATGTGTCGTTAAACAACAGACAAACTGAAAATATCTACACTACTACTCAAAACAATCAGCCCCTCGAACGCGGTTAGAAAGCGAAAACGCCGCGTCACAGAGTAATCGTGTAGACTATGCTAACTAGTACAAAGCAAACTAACGTCATCGAGATCAAGACCGTGGCGCGAAGTATAAGCACCCTAGTTAAGATTAAGGGTAGATTAGGTTGAACAATAGCGTATGTTACGTTTTCCATTGTTCATATAATTCTACATTAGCAGATGATTTAATTAAGTGGTTTGGAACTAAAGGAGTAATGGACTGGTCAAAAATATTATGCGTGGGTGGATGGGATCGGGACCATGGAAAGCTATTGCATGTATTTGGGGAGTCATGAAAAAATATTACATAAATTGGGGGTCAGCAAAATTTGATACAGTCCCAAAACCAATCTCATTGCACTCCACACCTACCTCCCCTGTTAATAACTGACCAGTCCCTAAAGTCATGTGAACTATGCTTGCCGTAAAAGGCGACTATGCTTGTCGTAAAAGGCGACTAACGGGATCGGGTGGTCAGGCTCGCTGACTTGGTTGATACATGTCATCGATCCCAATTGCGTGGATCGATGCTCATGATATCAATCACTGGATTGTCTGGTCCAGACTCGATTATTTACAGACCGCTGTCATATAGCTGGAATATTGCTGAGTGCGGCGTTAAACAACAAACCAACCAACCAAATCATGTGAACTTCTCAAACCGCTCCGACTGTTACGTTCTATAAGAGGCAATATTATAGTCACATCTGCTTGATCCATCTTTATTAATCGTATTTAGCAATGGCAGTTTTTTAAAGACACATGACACTACGTGAAACTGTCTTAATTCTGATAAGCAAATTAAGCGTTTGCAGTCAATCGAATGTCGTTATGAATCTAAGCGAATCGCCCCCCCCCCCCCCCCCCCTCTTAAAATGGACATATACGGTATTTGCATATCAAAAGGCCAATCAATTTGTTTTAAGTTAAATAAAAAATAAATCTATTTTTTTAGAACAAGAGAAATGTAAATGTGTTCTTATCTTCAGATAAGTATTTGATTTATATTTAAAAGGGTGTGGTTTGTACTGAATATATAATCGTATGTATTTGGTCCCTAAATGATGGAAATATTTCACCCAATCTAGCAGTGGAGAATTAGAAGGACTATACCAACTTGCTTCACTGCAAAGGTTACTAAAGGACGAAATAGTTTTATATCCCTGTCCAGCCTTATCTCGATTCTTTTGTTGCTAGATAACGTATTCATGTATATACAAACTAAGATACACGAACTGAATGCTTCACCTCTATATACTTCTCAGACAGTTCCCAGGTTAGAGGTGAGGTGAGACGAAATGGGGTTTAACGTCGTGTCGCGTATATAGTGTGTGTGTGTGTGTGTCTGCCTGTACTAGTCCGGACTGATGCCGATTTATAGTGCTAGCCCACTGAGATACCATACCGCAGTTTCACATGAATACCCCACTCAGACACAGTATACTGTCTCCGAGCCGACCAGTCCTTGTTTTAGCCCCTTAATGCCGAGCGCCAGACAGGGTAACAACAAGTACCATCTTTAAACGTCTTTAGGTATGACGCGGTCGGGGATCGAACCCCGGACCTTCCGCTCTTCGGGCGGACGCTCTACCACTAGACCACGGAGGCGGTCATGACTAAATTGGCCCCGGTTGTCTGGCACGATGATCTGGCTTATTGCTTGTTATCGTAAGGCGGGCTCTTAGCTTATGTTTTAACTCACTCATCCACGCAGTCTGGTTACAATGACACACAATCAACCAAATCACCGATCCTGACCATCGATCAAATTACACACCTCTGGAATACAACCAGCAGAGTTAGCTGGTGGCCTATTCTAATCCGGAATCCGGGTTGAATTAAACAGATGACATGACAATAGACATCATCCAGCCCCACATGGGTCATCCTGAAATATAGTACACGGAACGCCATAATAGGATTATACAAAAACATGGACTTTCCCTTCGCATTAAGAGGCGGAAGGGGAGCTTAGTGGTTAAAGCGTTCGCTCGTTACGCCAAAGAACCGGGTTGGCTTCACCACATGGGTAAAATGTGTGAAGCTCATTTCTAGTCTCCCGCCGTGATATTGCTGCAGTATTGCTAAACGCGGCGTAAAATCCCTACTCACTCACTGTCAAAACATATACTGACAAAAACGATTGTTTCAGTCTAAGATTCAGGGTTTGCCTGTACAAAGCAATTTTATCTCAAATTAATAATAAGACGATTGCTTCTCGCTACAATGACCATTTCATGTCATTGTTATTATCAATAAAATGATCTCGCAGAAAACTCAACGTGATACGATTTTGAAAGTAATCAGTTACTTTTATTGTTCATCAAATTATGACTTTGTACAATTTGAAGGTTACATGTAAAAATCTCTTTCTTTATATTCTTAACCATCAGGCATTGGGCAACCACGAGTTCGACCGAGGCGTTGGTGGATTACTTCCCTTTCTGGAGGACGTCACAGTCCCCGTCATCAGCGCCAACATCGACGCCAGTCAGGAACCGCGCATCCAAGGGTTATTCCACAAGAGCACAGTTGTGACAATAGGAGGACAGAAGATTGGGATCATTGGGTACACCACCACGGACACCCCCTCAATATCAAATACAGGTACGTTGGGCACATATATACAGTGGAACATGAGGGCACTTATATACAGTGGAAAACCAGAGCACATATATACAGTGAATCATCAGGGCACATATATACAGTGAATCATCAGGGCACATATATACCGTGGAACAACAGGGAACATATATACAGTGGAACATCAGGGCAAATATATACCGTGGAACATCGGGGCACATATATACAGTGGAACATCAGGGCACATATATACAGTGGAACATCAGGGCACATATATACAGTGGAACATCAGGGCACATATATACAGAGGAAATATAGACACTTGAACTTCAGGGCACATATATACAGTGGAACATCAGGGCACATATATACCGTGGAACATCAGGGCACATATATACAGAGGAAATATATACACTTGAACTTCAGGGCACATATATACAGTGGAACATCAGGGCACATATATATATACAGTGGAACATCAGGGCACATATATATACAGTGGAACATCAGGGCACATATATATATACAGTGGAACATCAGGGCACATATATATATACAGTGGAACATCAGGGCACATATATATATACAGTGGAACATCAGGGCACATATATATATACAGTGGAACATCAGGGCACATATATATACAGTGGAACATCAGGGCACAAATATATATATACAGTGGAACATCAGGGCACATATATATATACAGTGGAACATCAGGGCACATATATATATACAGTGGAACATCAGGGCACATATATATACAGTGGAACATCAGGGCACATATATATACAGTGGAACATCAGGGCACATATATATATACAGTGGAACATCAGGGCACATATATATACAGTGGAAAATCAGGGCACACATATACAGTGGAACATCACGGCAAATATATACCGTGGAACATCAGGGCACATATATACAGTGGAACTTCAGGGCACATATATACAGTGGAACATCAGGGCACACATATACAGAGGAAATATATACACTTGAACTTCAGGTCACATATGCAGTGGCTCATATTTTTATCCGTGCCGAGTGAAATCGTCTATATATCCAAGATCAGATCAGAAGTAATTAAATAAACGCCTCGAAACCTATATGCTTGATAATTATATGACTTTTAATAAAAACAATCTCTAAACTTGCATGTTCTATTGGCAGCTTTCTGGTGAGTGTGAGTGAGTGAGTTCAAATTTATGTCGTCTTTTAGCAATATTCCACAAATATCACGACGAGGGACTCCATTAATGGGCTTCACACATTGTACACATTTGAGAATCGAACCCCGGCCCTCGGCGTGACGAGCGAACGTTTTAACCACTAGGCCACCCACTGCCCCCAGCATTTGGGTATTTTATTCAGGAATACATGAAAAGAGGTATCTTGGAATTTGAACAGTAATTGGCCTATAATCAATGTTACTTGTTTTTACCCATAGAAAAACTGGTTTTCGATCCCATCATTCCCGCTGTGAAGGCGGAAGTTGATGCCATGAAGAAATCGGGCATCAACAAGATTATCGCCCTTGGCCATGCCGGCTACCAGTTCGACCGGCAGATGGCGAAGGAGGTTGAAGGCCTGGATATTGTCGTCGGTGGCCACAGCCATTCTTTCCTGTACACAGGTATCGTCTGCTTGTATTAGTTTGTGTCTGTTTGTGTCTATGTTTGTTTGTGTCTGTTTGTGTCTGTGTTTGTTTGTGTCTGTGTTTGTGTCTGTTTGTGTCTGTTTGTGTCTGTTTGTGTCTGTGTTTGTTTGTGTCTGTGTTTGTTTGTGTCTGTGTTTATTAGTGTTTGTGTTTGTTTGTGTCTGTGTTTGTTTGTCTGTTTGTGTCTGTGTTTTTTTGTGTCTGTGTTTGTTTGTGTTTGTTTGTGTCTGTGTTTGTTTGTGTCTGTTTGTGTCTGTGTTTGTGTCTGTGTTTATTTTTGTTTGTGTCTATGTTTATTAGTGTTTGTGTTTGTTTGTGTCTGTGTTTGTTTGTGTCTGTTTGTGTCTGTGTTTGTTTGTGTCTGTTTGTGTCTGTTTGTGTCTGTGTTTGTTTGTGTCTGTGTTTGTTTGTGTCTGTGTTTGTGTCTGTGTTTATTAGTGTTTGTGTTTGTTTGTGTCTGTGTTTGTTTGTGTTGGTGTTTGTTTGTTTGTGTCTGTTTGTTCCCAGGTCATGCTGTGTGAGTGTTTGTGTCTGTTTGTTCCCAGGTCATGCTGTGTGAGTGTTTGTGTCTGTTTGTTCCCAGGTCATGCTGTGTTTGTTTGTGTCTGTTTGTTCCCAGGTCATGCTGTGTGAGTGTGAAATTTACTGACTTGTTTCCTTGTGTCAGGCCAAATCAGTTTCATAATTTATCCGTGGAAACCGACGCCACCTAAACATAATTCAGGCCCTCGTGTCCATTAATAAAAGAAAAGGAGAAGTTTTTTGCATGTTCTTCGTTTAACGCCGCACTCAACAATATTCATGCTATATGACGGCGGTCTGAAAATACTTGAATCTAGACCAGAATATCTAGTGACTGACATAATAAGGATTGATATACGTAATAAGGATCGATGACATGCATCAACCAAGTTGAGAGCCTGACCACCCATTCCCGTTAGTCGCATCTTACGACAAGACCTGTTGTAACATGGATCCTCAAGGGTTACCCAGGTGTCATCTGATAATTGATGTTATACAGTTTTAAAAAGATACAGCGGATGTTTCATGTGTCGAGTGAAATATCAAGTTTATCTCATCGAATGACGGGGGAAAGGAGATATTTTCACGAGATGGTGCGCACACCCCCTTTTTATTTCGAAAAAAAATCATTATTTCTGTATAAATTACCACCAAAGACAATAAATAGATCTTAATTTTGTGCACACACACACACACACACACACACACACACACACACACACACACACACACACACACACACACACACACACACACACACACACACCCCAACCCCCCTTTTTAGAAAAGCTGTATCCGCCCATGAAGCAGCCACACACACACACAAGTACATGCACGTGGCAATCAAAGTGCAATAATCTTGAACGGGAAGTTAAACGTGAAACCCATTTCACCTCACCACATCTCACCTCACATTTCATCCCCAGGCACGCCTCCATCAATAGAGAAGCCCGTGGGTCCCTATCCTACCATCGTTGCACAAGCGTCAGGTGCAAAGGTCCCAGTGGTGCAGGCCTACTGTTACAGCAAGTACATTGGCCATATAGAACTGGAATTCGACGACGATGGAAATGTCCTCGCATGGGAAGGAAAGCCTATACTTCTGGACAAAGATACACCACAAGGTGAGTGAGTGAGTGATTTTTGGTGGGTGGGCGGGTGGGTGAGTGAGTGAGTGATTTTTGGTGGGTGGGTGGGTGGGTGAGTGAGTGAGGGAATGAGTGATTGAGTGTGACTATCCGACCGCCCCCTACACCACAAGGTGAACTAGGATTTCTCACTGAAAATAACCATGAGCCAGGATAGCCGCGAATGTACTTGATTTATTCAAAAATTATGAAAGTATCTAAATTATAATGTCCTATTATCTGGTGTTGAGGTCGGTTGAGGGCATGTCAGTGACGTAAAAACGGCCATTTAGCCGTAACAGCAACCCATGCTTGCCGTAAAAGGCGACTATGCTTGGCGTAAGGGTGGTCAGGCTCGCTGACTGAGTTGATGCATGTCATCGTATCTCAATTTGGAGTTTCGATGCTCATGATGTCAGTCACTGGATTATCTGGCCCAGACTCGATTATTTACAGACCGCCGTCATATAACTGGAATGTTGCTGAGTGCGGCGTTAAACATCAATCAATCAATAAACGTAACAGATCCGCAGGTCTTTGGTTCGAGTCCGGGTTTCTCCCTATAATGGTCATTGCTTTTGAAGCAGCTTCATAAAGGTGTCAAACGTTTACGACCTATCGTGCACACGTTTCGCCATCCGTTGTAACGACGTGATCTGATTTGATAAGAGTCTCTAACATCATTACTCCCAGGGGGCACGGGTGGCCAAGTCATCTAAGGCGCCGCGATTCGCTGTGCAGAGTTGCGTCCCTTGGGCACGCCAGAAACCTATGATTGTGGGTTCGAATCCCGGTTCGCTGCGATTATGTTTCTAGGTTTCTCAGCACCATACCCGTGCCCGTGGGTTTCACCGAAGCGTCCCTGACCTGCATCACTTCGGGCTTTCCTTCCACATTAAGCTGACACGCCATTATATAGCTGGAATACTGTTAAAAGCGCGTTAAACCCAACTAACTCACTCATTACTAACAACTCGCTCACTTACACTACTGACTCCATGCTAGGTTCCAGGGCCCCGTTCCACAAAGCGATCTTAGCGCTACGACGATCGTAAGCCAGTGTTAAAGTATGGGAGTTACGATCACCTTAGCGCTAAGATGGCTTTGTGGAACGGGCCAGGACTTCTGATTCCTGTGTGTGCATTTCAGGGCCCCGTTCCACAAAGCGATCTTAGCGCTACGACGATCGTAAGCCAGTGTTAAAGTATGGGAGTTACGATCACCTTAGCGCTAAGATGGCTTTGTGAAACGGGCCAGGACTTCTGATTGCTGTGTGTGCATTTCAGGGCCCCGTTCCACAAAGCGATTTTATCGCTACGACGATCGTAAGCCAGTGTTAAAGTATGGGAGTTACGATCACCTTAGCGCTAAGATGGCTTTGTGGAACGGGGCCAAGGACTTCTGATTGCTGTGTGTGCGTTTCAGGGCCCCGTTCCACAAAGCGATCTTAGCGCTACGACGATCGTAAGCCAGTGTTAAAGTATGGGAGTTACGATCACCTTAGCGCTAAGATGGCTTTGTGGAACGGGGCCAAGGACTTCTGATTGCTGTGTGTGCATTTCAGGGCCCCGTTCCACAAAGCGATCTTAGCGCTACGACGATCGTAAGCCAGTGTTAAAGTATGGGAGTTACGATCACCTTAGCGCTAAGATGGCTTTGTGGAACGGGCCAGGACTTCTGATTGCTGTGTGTGCATTTCAGGGCCCCGTTCCACAAAGCGATCTTAGCGCTACGACGATCGTAAGCCAGTGTTAAAGTATGGGAGTTACGATCACCTTAGCGCTAAGATGGCTTTGTGGAACGGGCCAGGACTTCTGATTGCTGTGTGTGCATTTCAGATCCGGAAACCCTGAAGAAGCTGGAGCCGTGGGCTAATGCTGTGAACTCGTCCGCCATGGTGACTGTCGGTACAACAGACGTCTTCCTGCAGGGGGATGAACACGACTGCCGCAGAGTCGAGTGTAATCTGGGTAAGTACATGTAGAGGCGAAACTGTTTCGGGGAATTCAAATGCGTTTCAAGCAAATAGGGACGATGACGAATTGTTTTTATATATTTCTTCACATTTTCATACGAACACGCTCACTTTTCATACGAGCACGGAAAAGGGACATGGGTTATATTTGCAAAACAATAACATCTCAGTGATTTTCGTCCTTTCGTCATCTTCACTAACCCATGCTTGCCGTAAAAGGTGACTGTGCTTGTCGTAAGAGGCGACTAACGGGAACGGGTGGTCAGGCTCGCTGACGTGATTGATGCATGTCTTCGTATCTTTCCAACGCAACTTTCCAAGTGATGATAGTTTTGAATGATGGTGTATTTCGTTGTGGCTTTCTAGGCAATATCTACACGGATGCTATGATCTACAAATTCCTGCAGCTTGAAAAGTCCCATGCCGACTACTGGACTTCAGTTCCTATAGCTCTCTGTAACGGAGGCGGGATTCGCTCGCCTATTGACGTTGGTATGTATTTCATCTTATGGCTACGTGTTATCAGTGAGATATACCATGTCGATAAACTTGGTACCACGAGGGGCAGCAGGAACGCCATGCAAGCGCCATATATTAATGTGTACCTTCTATGGACGAATGTCACTATGCTTATAAAACGGTTTCCAATGTATCGCCGAAACATGACGTCATTTCATTTGGCACTTAATGAAAAATTAGGCTGTTCATTCAAAAATTGTATTCATTCGCCGTTTCTAAAGAGTCTTCATTTAGTGAAAGTACGCCCTAAATATCGGTTATTTTAAGAATGACATTATACGATAAAGATATTATTACCCTGGTGTTTTTTTTTAACCGGATGATATTTACGATACGGAAACATACCTGACTAATAAGGGCGGTGCGGTAGCCTCGTGGTTAAAGCGTTGGCTCGTCAAGTCGAAGACCTTGGTTCGATTCCCCACATGGGTAGAATGTGTGAATCCTATTTCTCGTGTCCCCCGCCGTGATATTGCTGGAATATTGCTAAAAGCGGCATTAAACCATACTCACTCACTCACTCACTTGGGTCACAATCTCTATTAACTTCGACCGACTGCATATCGGATCAAGTAAATCATTTTCCCACATTTGTTTCGGGAGCTGTATACTTCTGTCCAAAGCAAACGTCCTCTGTATAAGGATCGAATGAACGATTGTCTTGAACAGCTGTGTGCAGTTCCTGACATCATTCCACAGATTCGTATTTTGACTTTATGAGATGTATCTGAAAATTATTGTAGAAAAATGTATATATAATCATAATTGATCTATATATTTATTGATACTGTTGTTATTGTTGTTGTCGATTCCCGACATGGGTACAATGTGTGAAGCCCATTTCTGGTGTCCCCCGCCGTGTTATTGCTGGAATATTGCTAAAAGCGGCGTAAAATCATACTCACTCACTCACTCACTATTGTTGTTGTTGTTGTTGTAATAAAAATGTCATTGACACAACGTGGGTGTTAACGCAAACTCATGGCTTGGAATCCAGGCGAAATTACAATGAAGCATGTGTTGTCCGTGCTACCATTCATGAACGACATTGACCGGATCAAGCTGAAGGGGAAGTTCCTCCTCCAGGCCTTGGAACATTCCGTGTCCAGGTATCCAAAGTCGGAATCCGATGACCTTTTTGGCGGCTTCTTACAAGTGTCAGGTATGTGGTAACAATGTGCAGAGTTGCGCCCCTTAGGCGTGACAAACACGTAAGGATACCGGTTTCACACTTATTATTTGCCTTAAGGTTTGTTGGTTTGTTTCACCGAAGCAGCAAACGCCTAGAACCTGCATCACTTTCCACGGGCTTTCCTCCAACATTAAGCTGACCAAAATAGCACTGAAACAAACTAAATGGTCCAGTCTTGTACTAAACTTCAGATACAGTGAAACTTGATGAACTCGAGATCGAGAATACAACAAGTTATACAGTGTGTGAGACAAAAGGAATGCCGATATCAGGTCCTTGGGTCTTCACATATTCTATCGGGACTATAAAGATAAATTGAGTTAATGAAGATAAGTGAGTGAATATATATATATATATATATATAGAGAGAGAGAGAGAGAGAGAGAGAGAGAGAGAGAGAGAGAAAGAAAGAAAGAGAGAGAGAGAGAGAGAGAGAGAGAGAGAGAGAGAGAGAGAGAGAGAGGATTTATCACGAGTGTTTTTTAATATGGGAAATATCAACCGAGTCTTAGTTAATCGGTATTTGCCGAGCCTTTGGCGAGTCAAATACCGATTAACGGGACGAGGTTGATATTTCCCATATTAAAAAACACGAGTGATGAATTCTATTTATCATTTTCACATTTTTGCTTCCCAATATGGGAATAATTGCATTAAACATTAACATCAGCAACTTGTCGAAATCTTACGTATAGATCGTGCGTAGTGATACATGTTTTCCATAGCCGTGTAAACCAAAATAAAAAACCTCTTAACTCCTTTATGACATATTCCTTCGCTGAGAAAAAAAGTTCCTCGGATTATTTTAAACAAAATACGTAAACAGACTTTTGCAGAATAATTGAAATAATGTCTCCAACATCAAATGTATCCATGTTGTTTGTTAACACCTACTCACGTGCACCGGCGAAAAAAGTCCCACTTCCGGTTATCTAATTTGCATATCATTGGGGTCACACTCCGTCGCAGTGGTGACTCAGCATAACACCACTGCCACAGGCTAATTTGCATATCACGTGACCGGACTTTTCTCTTGTTTGTAAACAAACGCGCTTTTTCAGAAATCAGTATAGAACGGACTAATGCAAGTATTTGGGGGCGCTTTACATATTGTTTTGCATAACTATATAGATATGCTACTACAACTGCGACAGTGAGTTGCATGACAATATATATTTATGCATCAAAGTGACCGTGTCGCTAGCTCTCCGTTGGGCTTCGACGACAGCACGTGGAGCCGTACAACCAATGTAAACATAGGATAACTACGCAAAAACAAGTAGATTTTTACGTATTTGCATACTTTCTCAATGAAAGTTAACCATTCTTTGACATTTGTTTATGAAAATGTGTAGACTTGTCAAACATGAAACGGATGAAAAGCATATGCAATATCTTAAATGGACTGTGAAAGATGTGACGAATCGTCACATGGCGCTGGCCTGTGGCAGAGGTACTATGCTAGCTGGCTGCCGGCCGCATGGCACTCTGGGTAGGAGAGTGCATTGGGGTATGACATACATGTTTTTATGTCATAAGCTTATGTCATGGATAAATGCTTTAGTTAAATGATAAATATATTTATTATTTATATATATATATATATATATATATAATAAAATAATAAAGTCCACGTTAGTCCATTATCTTCTTTATATCAGTTTCATACATAGTACTTTCGCTGTCTCATGACAGCTCTTCAGTGTAACTGACAATGACATATAACGACGTCATACTTATGATGACGTCATAAATTACAACTGTGACGTCATAATATATTTACACATTCCAGCGAGTGAACATTTACGTCATTTTGGATATATATATATATATATATATATATATATATATATATATATATATATACACACACACACACACACATATATATACATATATATATAGAGAGAGAGTACGGTATATAACTACGTATGCACAGCACAGCACATATACAGCAAATGGATGGTCGTTATATCGGTCAGTTCGTTATAAGCGTGTTCGTTATAAACGTAGTACTGTAGACACTGTACATTTAAAACAGCCTTGTTTTGAAAGTATGGACTGTGTTCCAGGTCTGAGGGTCACGTATGACGTCAGCAAACCAGTTGGCAGCCGAGTGGTTGATGTCAAAGTCCGCTGTTCAAACTGCACGGTTCCCAGGTTCGATCCTCTTGACGACGAAACCCTGTACACCATTGCACTGCCGGTGTTCACGTCTGACGGGGGCGATGGCTATACCGTCATACGTGACAACAGGATACAGATGCCACCTATTGGTAAGATCTGTTTAAAGTAGGTATTGTGACTATATGCTGCTCTTGTATATATATTCATCCCCGGCTGTGTCATACCAAATGACGTTAAAAGATGGTACTTGTTGTTACCCTGTCTGGCGCTCGGCATCAAGGGGCTAAAACAAGGACTGGTCGGCTCGGAGTCAGTATACTGTGTCTGAGTGGGGTATTCATGTTAAACTGCGGCATGGTATCTCATGGCTAGCACTATAAATCGGCATCAGTCTGGACTAGTACAAGTAGACACACACACACACACACACACACACACACACACACACACACACACACACACACACACACACACACACACACACACACACACACACACACACACACACACACACACACACGTGCATGCACGTCGCTATATAAGTGCAATAATCTTGGACGCGACGTTAAACCCAATTTCACCTCACCACACCTTGTATATATTCGTCTAAAAATATTTTGCTTCATTTGTAGTGGGGCGGTCGGGTAGTCTTGTGATTAAAGCGTTCGCTCGTCACGCCGAAGACCCGGGTTCGATTCCCGACATGGGTACAATGTGTGACGCCCAATTCTGGTGTCCCCCGCCGTGATATTGCTGGAATATCGCTAAAAGCGGCGTAAAACCATACTCACTGACTTCAGTTGTAGTACATCACTTGACGATGTGTTCATTTGTTTTGTTCCAGGTGCTCTGGACTCTGATGTATTTGTCGACTATGTGAAGACATTTACTCCTCTGACCCAGGGCCTAGAAGGCCGTATTCGTTTTGTCACAGAAAGTAAGAAAAAAGACTGTGACGTGAATGCTGGCGACAACGTCACTTCCGCTAAGTTACCATTCATTGTTGGTGTGGTATTGATACTTATGTATCATATCCTTTAGTGAAGTCGTGGTACATGATAGTGAGTTACGTTGGAAATCCTCATTCAGCTTCATTCTTACGCATCTACGCCTTGCACGATTGCGATTATTGTAACGTTTCTTAAAAAACAAAACAAACAAAAACGTCAACACGATCATAACCGTGCAAGAAAACCGCTATCGAGGAAACGTGCCTGTTCAGCAGTAGTATACCTACTTACCTGATCTAGTCTCGACAACATCTCGTTTCTCAACGATTTTACCATGTAGACACATTGTCGCTATGGAGGGAACGTTTGTTTTGAACATAAGTATCTCGTTATATTCCAGTTTCAAAAATCATCCTTTTAATTTTTTAGTTTAGTTACGATCGTTTTCAATACTGTTACATACACACTGTTCATAAAAAAAAAGAGAAAAACTCAATGAAGTTAGATTGATGAGTAGTGTATGGTTCTTAAAGTAATTACGTCAGTGTAACACTTAAACATCGTATGCATGATTTAATTGAAAGCAATAGACAATCGGTGCAAGCAGTTTGACATGTTAACGTTATAATGTTTACTCTGGGGTGTATCATTCACTACTTGTCCATTATAGTCTCTCCTGTGTCCGTGTACTGTCAATACCTATATGTATGTATGTGTTTATTGATTGTTAGCATATATACCTGTCGATATCAACGTCTGAATACGTCAACTATAATGGCTCTGAGACAGCTATGAACTAGTCCAATTTTGAAAGTAGAGACGAATATTAAGACATTTGAGATTTACTGTTTACCGAGTCCAGCAAAAATCAAAATGCTTTCAGGAGTAAATCTGATGTACATATATTGACTATTCTGATGCGTGATGTGTGACATGTATGATGTAGAAGCGGTTTCGGGACATTTGTCACTTACGTCCAGTTTAACCCAACCGCCCTCGACTGGCGCTACGACTGTTGTAAGCCTATGTTACGGGATGAGAGTTACGATCTTCGTACCGCTAAGATCGCTTTGTGCAAGTGGACCCATCCCCAGTACACCGAGAGCACTGTTGTTAAAGCGTCACATCAAGGTCCGAATTCGATTCCAATAATGAAACAGTGTGAGGAACCTGTGTCCCGCCTTGGCAGGAATGAACAAGGCTAGAGAAGCCGCGGGAAGCCAAACCTCCCTCACTCACCTACACTTGTCCGTGTTAAAGAGTGGCGGGGTAGGGCTGCCGGGGTTCAAGGTGTGAGTCCAATTTCTTGCGTCTCCAGCGTTAAAATTATTATTATCATTTACAGATTAAAATAGAAAATGCAGCAAAGAGGGTTTGGGTGATCCTCGCACAGTCAGGCCTGTTAGGCTCATCGTCAGCTCAGGGCCCTTGCCCGCTCGACACGCATCCCAGACAGCGAATGGGACTTCTCCCAGGAAGCGCTGCCTAGTCAAGCCCACCCAGAACTTTTCGGAAAATGTGAAGACCCCCAATACTGCAGCCTTCTTCATTACCCAGATTGTCAGAAGGGTTGTATTCCTGGTAGCAAACCCGGGTACTCTCCCAATATCAGTCAACAGATTGGGAGGCACCAAACCTAAGGCACCGAGAACAATGGGGAGTCGGACAACTTGGTGCTTCGGATGCAAGCGTGACATTTCGAACGCTTGGTCTGCAGATTAGCCATGTTTTTCCTGAATCTTGTCAATCACATTGGTGTCAAAAGGGACAGAAAATTCAATGGTATATATTATTTCATTGGATTTGTCAAAAAGGACAAGATCAGATTTGTTGGCCTGGACATGTCTGAGGCTGTATACGGGCCTATTCCAGAGAATTTTGTATTTATCATTTTCCATGATGCCCTCTCCATATTCCGGGTCGTACCATGGATAGACCTCTGTGTCAAAACCACAAGCATGGCGAAGACGGTAATAAAATGATCGAGCCACCCCATCATGTCGCTTAAGATACTGTGTCTGTGCCAAAGCTGAGGATCCACTCACAATGTGTTGGACAGTCTCATTCATTTCATTACATAGTCTACATTTCATGTTTACATTTTGATGCAAAATCACACATTGACGGTTTCGAGTTGGAAGTGACTGGTCCTGAGCAGCAAACAAAAAGCCTTCTGTTTATTATTATTATTATTATTATCATTAAACCCTGAGGACACTGCTATCTGTGAAAATATATTTTATTACGCTTCACTGATTCTAGCTCGGAATCGCCGCGTTGTTAGTTATTGTACGTCTCAGGGGACCCGTGGTGATTCCAGGCTAGGCTAAGTTCCCAGGTAGCTGGTACTGCTTCGATCGCTTCATGAAAGGGGCGGCAGCCTCGGTGACCTGGTTGCTGACCTGTCATCGTACCCCGGGGCATTGCACACAGTACCAATCACTGGTTTGTCTGGCCAAGGGTGGATTAATGGCAGACCGTTTCATAGCTGGAGAATTGCTGAGTGCGGCGTAAACTAACAAACAATGACTGGGCATTGCAATATTAACTTCACGCAGCTAAGCTAGTTCACGCCAACTGTGCTATCACTGTTGGTGTTTAAAAGCGACCCTTAAGTCATATCAATTAACTATCGCAAATAACTTTTTTGTTTTTGTGTTTAACGCCGCACTCAGCAATATTCCAGCTATATGACAGCGATCTGTAAATAATCGAGTCTGGACCAGACATTTCAGTGATTGATATCATGAGCATCGATGCACGCATTTGGGACACGATGACATGCATCAACCAAGTCAGCGAGCCTGACCACCCGATCCCGTTAGTCGCCTCTTACGACAAGCATAGTCGCCTTTTATAGCAAGCCTGGATTGCTGAAGACCTATTCTACCCCGGATCTTCACGCAAATTACTGAAATCCACCGTTTATGATATATTTATGATTTTATGTGACGTCATTCCAACAGTGTTTCAACGAGGCCGGACTATCATTATTAACATATACTACAACTTATAAGCCAGGTTTCGAGATTTACAAACTTCAGTAGAGATAAATAAACCGTAATTCATTAAGGCGTGTAAGTTATTCTGTAAACCGCATTACTACTTGTTGTTTTCGCTTAGCTATTGTATATTCGGTTGTATTATGATAGAATAATAAATGCAATTAAAACAAACAAACAGCGATTACGTCTTTCATTAGATATGCGTGTGTTTGTACACACGTACGCTGATGGACCTCTTTTCGGCGAAGATGTTGACAAACTTGTAGCATTTCAGTCTTGGAGCAGAGGGTGCATGAACACCACGAGCACGCAAAGAAGATGATAATAGTAGAGTCATATCCCTGGAATCCGTGACTACTTTGTTCCTACCTTTTTTTTATGATGGACTAGTTTAACTGACATGTTTAACTTAAAATTTAGCCCCAGTGACCCTCTGGAAAATGACGGCTAACTCTGCCAGAACGCAAAATTCAAAATGGCCGTCGACGCCATTTTTAATAGCATGAAATAGTATATCTCTGGAAGAATATCAGCCACAGACACATATAAGGTGTCTAATTCCACTAATTTGAACATACATAATCCATTGGAATTGTTATTTTTTACATTAGAAGCAATTCTGACCTTGAATTCCAAGATGGCCGCCGGCTGCCATCTTGAAAAACAGAACATATCATATCTCGAATACTAGATGGGCTACGAGAACAAATGAGGTGTCTTATCTAACTAATTTTAACATGATAAAACTATTGGAATGGTTAATTTTATCCTTAGGATAATATTTATCTCAATATTCAAAATGGTCACCAACAATGTAGGATATAAGGTATACTCAACTACAAAAGAAACGCACGTGCCGGATAATTTTGAAGGGTTATATCTTGGAAAGTATATGAGCTTGAAAGATATTTTTGTAGGTGATAAAAGCTAAAATGTTGAATTTAACAAAACTATTAGTAACGACCAAAATTGATCATGCTAAAGTATTAAACATTAATTGTGCGGTTTTTTTTAGTAATGCGTTTCTTTAGCAGTTGGATATAGTATTGTCATACCTTAAGAAATGATTCACCGATTGTAATGATCTTGGTATGAATTTAAATGTACATAGTTGTATATGCCCTATCTATCTGTCATCTTCATCCAATACCAGTGTAATGTGATATTGGTCAATATCTAAGGATTGAGGGGAAATTATCTGTTTGACCTTAACAATTTGTTTGAAGCACAACATCAACGACCTAAAACTGATTTTGAATGTTAAAGCAAATAACTAAATGCTAAGGTAGTGATAATAAAATCTGCAAAGGATATATTATTTTCAGATGCCAAGGAAAACATTTTGCTATCAGGTGCCTATTAGTCACTGCATTGTAGTAATAGATCTAAATAAAGCTTCTGAAGTGCTAATGGTGACCGTACAAAGTCTCCTGAATGATTACAAAGGCATCATCTCAAATTTTGGGCATAATTCAATAGTTAAAACAAGCTACTTCAAGGTCTTCTGATCAAAGAATTTTGTGAAAGCATCGGGTTTCGTCAAGGCAATCAGAAGAATCAGAGTGAACTGGTCTATGATCACACCGCAGCAGGAGGAACATATGTTGAGGCTGCAATATATTCACTTGGTGTCAGCAATGATCAGCTAGCTATGAATGTTGCAACACAACTCAAGGAGCAAGTCATGAGCATTAACACTGACCCCTGGCCTCCATACATCCATGAATTGGAGAGAGAAGAAGCATCCAAAGATGGCTGTCATTGATGATTGTCCAACTGTCCGTTCAATTGCTTCTGTCATCACAAGTTACATCACAAGAAAACACACTGCATTTGAGACGAAAATGTGAGTCATGCTACATGGACTGACAAAACGTAGGGAGATCATTGATGTAATGCACAAAGATGGTTTGGGCATCAGCTACAATGATGTTCTTATGCTGCGGGATTTCTGGGTAGCGACTGACCTAAAGCATTCATTGAATTGTCCTTTCGAGCTTGCTGAAGGCAAACCTGCTGTGGCTATAGTAGACAATGATGACTTCAAGAGTGACACACTCACTGGTGCTGATCAACCACACCGCACTAACGTGTTGTTTGTTCAACCAGAATCTTTTGATTCGGAACCGTTGGAGAGTCATGAAACTCGTCCAGTTCCCAGTGCAAAACTGGCCTCATCTCTCTCTGCCTCTCTCAAGGAACTTGGAAGTGCAATGCAGAAGATTGATCCATACAAGACAGTTAAGCGTGGAGAGCCACCAGTCAGGACAGAGACAGAAAACAACAGTATTCTTTTGGACACATCTACTCAGAGGACACGTGGTGTTATTCATGCACTGGCCAGAGCCCAAGATGACCTCTCAAGACCAAAGCCAGAAGAACAGCAAGTGCCTGGTTAAAAAGGGTTTCATGCTAACATGTCACAACCATGTCAAGAGCCAGGCAATATACCACATGACATATTCTGACCCTCCTAGTAAGACCATCCTCTATGATGTGATGTGCAAACTTGCTAAGTCAATTAATGAAAAAAGATGCCTTTCGCAATCATTGTAGGTGATTATCCGGTCTACTTGCTCTTACTTGGACCTGAAAAGTGAGAAGGCGGTTCAGTTCAGCAAAATTTTGACATTCATTGCACCCTTCCACATCCAAATGTCATTCATCTATGCCATTTACAAGAGGTTTAAGGGTTCCGGTATTTCTGATGTGTTAGTGGCAGAAGGTGTATTTGCAGAAGGGTCTGTAGATCAAGCACTCCGAGGAAAACATTTCAAGCATGGTGTACGATGTCTGTACCTCTTCTAAGAAACAATGGTCCATATGCTGCTAAAAAAAACACCTGATGTGTATCAAAAAGAAACACCAACTGATCTCTGCTAGACGCTTGTGTGACGAGGAAAAGGCAGAATGCATTATACCCATTCATGTGCTTACTGGATGTGACCATAACTCTGGTTTCTATGGGGTTGGCAAGAAGAGTATTGTACATCGCA